GTTTAGACTTTGTCATGCAAGACCCTCAGTTGCCTGGTTTTGCTCTTCACTTTATTTTCAAGGTAACTTTGAGCTTTCCGTGGCTGCAAGTGCCGCACACCAGTGTTCAACCCACTGCAGATTAAGAATATTTGGGAAGGATGTTTAGGAACTGAACAAGTTCAGACTTTCACTGTCTGGAATTATTCCCTAAACAGCATAGTATAGCACATATGTACCGAGCACTCACTTCGTGTTGGCGGTCTTACACAGAAGTGATGAAAAGAGTGTGAGAGGGTGTGTGTAAGTCATATGTGACTACCGCTTTACTAAGGTTCCCCACACGGGCTGGAGAAAGGGCCCAATGTTTTTTCTGCTCTTGCGGTGGTTCAATTCTCAGTAGCCATATTAGGTGGCTCACAGATGCCTGTAACTCTGGCTTGAGGGTCAGATCCCCTCTTCTGGTGTCTTTGGGCACCCACCTATTAGTGACACGAGCACACTCAGGTGTACATATATGCACACAAATGTAGCTAGAGTTTTCCTGGTCCTGCCTGGTCCACGGTCAGGACAAATCTCTCTCACCTGCCAGTCCCACAGCCGCTCAGACCCAACCGAGTAAACACGGAGAGACTTATATTGCTTACAAACTGTATGGCCGCAGCAGGCTTTTTGTTATCTAGTTCTTATATCTTAAATTAACCCATTAATCTATTAATCTATAAGTTGCCATGTGGCTCATGGCTTACCGGTATCTTAACATCTTTTCATGGCGGCAGTGTCTCCCTGCCTCAACCTTCCCTTTCCCACAATTCTCCTCTCTGCTAGTCCCGCCTATACTTCCTGCCTGGCTACTGGCCAATCAGTGTTTTATTTATCAATCAATCATCCACAGCACTTCCCCTTTTTCTTTTTTTTCAAAAAGGAAGGTTTTAACTTTAACATAGTAAAATTACATATAACAAAACAATCAAGCAAGAATTATATTACAATATTAAAGAAGATATCCTATCTATCTTATATTTGTGAGTCTAAGGTTTTATATCTAAGTTATCTTTTATCATAACTGAGGAAATTATAACTCTAGTCTTCAACTACATCAAAGACCCCAGAGGGATATAATATTACCTGAGACATGGGAGAAGGATGCAAGCAACTTTCGGGAGTCTTGCAGGGTAGACAGAGACAGCTGGCAGCCTGGACAGTCATCTAATATTCCTTTGTAAAGTTGGGGCATCTGTCTTCAGCTCACAGGCCTAGAGTCTCTCAGTCATTTCTCTCTGTGTCCTGTAGAATGTCTGGCAGTTTCCTCTGCGAAGCAGGAACCTGAAGGACCATTTTGTCAAGCAAAGTTCAGTGGTCACCCTCCTATGGGTCCTGCATGTCCAGTCAACCAAGCAGTCTAGGCAAGAACAGTTTCTTGCCCAAATGGCTATTTTTGCCAAGGTGAAGATAAACTCCATATGGAGTGTCTTTGATGCCCATCCTCCTCTCTGAAGTAAATCGGTACTGCCAGGAGCCGACATGTCTCACTGTCCAGAAAGTCTAAATCTTTAAAACATTTTAAATGCCATATTCTGTAGGTCTTTGAAGTGTTTGAAGATTATCTATCTGAAATATATCTATGTAACTAACATGACTACAAGTATGATTATCATAGAAGACTAATTATTAATCTGTATTTCTTAATTATCCATTACAATCTAAATTAGTTACATAAACATAATACCTCAAACAGAGTAGAAATATATATACAGTATAACAAAATTAACTTCAAATTTGTATCAATAAACTAAAATCTATACCAATGTAAAACATTTCAAACAAGTTGTTGCTCTTTAAAAGTAGGTTCATTAATCTACCCTTTTATCCCATCACACAAATACACACTTTTTTTTTTTTTTAGAAAAAAATTCATATGTGAGAGAAAAACATGTCATATTTGTCTTTTTGCATCTGGCTTATTTTGCTTAACATGATCTCTGATTCCACCCATTTTCCTGCAAATGACATACTTTCACTTTCTATATGGCTGACAGAGCTCCATTTTTGTACATAGTGTATGATATCTAAACCTTTAAGATTTTACTTTTTCAAACCAGTGAGTAGGAAGTGGTTGTTGTCGAGGGTTTCAATTTGCATTTTCTCTGTCTATTGTTGAGATTAAAATATTCTGCATTATTATTAACCGTTCATAATTTTCTTAAGAAAAATGCCTGTTTTATATTTTGCCTATTTTTCTACTAGGTTATCTGCTTTTTTTTTTTTTTTTTCTTATTAGCCTACAAAAGCTACTTGTATATTCTGGCTATGGAATTTTTGTTTTGTTTTTTTCTTTATTAAGAAATTTTCTACTCACCCCTCATGCTATCCACAGGCCCCCCTCCTCCCACTCCCCAGCCCTCTTTCCCAAGCCACCCCTCATCCCCACATCCCCCAAATCGAGGTCTCCCATGGGGAGTCAGCAGAGCCCAGCACACTGAGCCTAGGCAGGTCCAAGCCCCTTCCCACTGCACAAAGGCTGTGCAAGGTGTCACACCACAGGCACTGGATTCCCAGAAGCCTGCCCATGCACCAGGGACAGATCCTGATCCCCCTGCCCGATCCCCCCGAAACAGTTCGAGCCAAATAACTGTCTTCCATGTCCAGAGGGCCTAGTCCAGTCCCATGGGGGCTCCACACTGGCTATGGAATTTATTTTGTCAGTTGTAGGTGTGATAAATATGGTCTCAGTTCCTAACTTACCTTTTATATTCTATACTATCTATTGATGTATAAAAGTTCCCAGCTTTATTGTAATTAAATGTCAAATTTTCCTCTACGGTTTGTGTTTTTTTGTTGTTGTTTTGTTTAAGGAAGTTTTGTTTTCCCTATTTTAAGGTTATAGGTAATAACAGCCAGCATTTACTGAATACTTTAGCATTTACTGAATATTTTCTGTTTTATGTAATCATCTCCTTTTTAAAATTGTTTTTGCAATTTTATTTATTTTTATTGTACATATATGTCTGTGTGCCATGTGCATGTGGTGCCCTCGGAGACCAGAAGAGGGTTTCGGATCCCCTGGGACTGGAGTTACAGAGGGTTGTTAGCTATCATGTGGGTGCTGGGAATTGAACCTGGGTCCTTTGGAAGGGCAGCCAGTGCTCTTAACCACTGAGCCATCTTTCCTGCTCCCTTTTACTTAAAAGACTGAAAGGCTCAGAGAGAGGAAGCAACTGGGGCAAAGCCACACAGCAAACAAGCAGTCATTAGGATTGGAGCACAGGCAGTCTGCCAAGCTTCTGTTTGGAGTTTACTTCCTACGTAACTGTCACACAATTAAAGCTCTGCCTTTCTCTTTAAAGTCTCCGGTCTGGAATTGCATATAGGAAGTGAGTTTCTGGAATGGATCTTTACCTCTGACCCTCCACTTACCATTTGTGAGAAGCTTATCCTAAAAACAACAACAACAAAAACAAACAAACAAACAAAAACTAGTGTTAATTGAGTCTTGCTAAGGATGCTTTTAAAGTTTTATTAAGTCTGCAATTAAATGATCTCAAATAAGGAGGGCCAAATGGCCCTCTTCAATTGCTAAGTGAAGCCCGGCTTCAAACGGTGTGGCGCTAGAATTAACAGGAAGTCAGCCTCCAGATTGTAGCACCAAGGCTGGGGATGCTGATCACATTCGGTAAAACGAACAGGTTTCTGCCCCCACCCCCACCCCCACCCCAGAAACCCTGCAAGAGGCAGAGGCCATCAAAAGCAGGAATAGTCTCCAAAGCTCCACCTACACCACTGGGACCAAAATAGTTCACACGCATCGCTGCCGCCTCCTATGAACCCCGTGGGAAGGAACTCTGGTCACGAATTGCTTTTCAAGCACCCACACACAAGGACAGCGGCAGAGACGGCAGCCGCATCTTGGAACCTATTGATCGACTAAACATCATAGTGGAGGCTACACATCACATCTTTTCTCTACCAAGTGCTCTCTCCAAAATTGGAGGTTTTATACAAATATGAAGAAATCGAAGCTGTTTTTCTAAGTTAGGAAATAAAGGGGAATGAGGTGTGCAGCAGATTATGGGGGCCTGATCATAAAGGTCTCACGGAGCAGGCGTAAAACCTGTGAACGTCACTGTCTATGGGGGAAGCTTCGAGGCATACTGAACAGGAAAGTCGATCTGTTTAGTATTTTGCTCGTTAGAGACTGCATGCCTACTTACAATCTGGCTGACAGAAAATACTAACGAGTGATCGTGCCAACTCTGCCACCCCACCCATCCTTGTTCTTTTCTTTCTGGCAGAGCTCACATCCTACTCTCCAGGCTGGAAGTGCCCAAGGATCACTTGCAGGTAAAACCAGGCAGGTGACCTGTTCGTGCTAACGGGGTCAAGGGAGGAAAGAAGAGGGGTGTGGAGGTTGGAGATTCTGGAAACACATTTTCTAACAGAGGGTGGGTGGTGAGCAGTGCGGCAAAGCTGAAGAACGGAAGTGACATCATAGAACCACATGACAGGCATGTGCTCAGGGGTAGAGCGCTCGCTTAGCATGCAGAAGGCAATGTGTTCAATTCCTAGCAACATACACCTATGAAAATAATGAAATATAACAAATAGGTATTTTTCCTTAGGTGTTTATTTAAAATAAATTAGTTTCTTTAAGTTGAGCACAGTACCTACAATTATTAATTGTTGACTCAACATTTTGGTTATTCAAGCAGGAAACAAAACAACTGTGAGATGACTTCCCTTGTTTTCCTGAATCTGAAGTGGCCTTTTCACACTTTTATTTCTTCATTTACATATTTCCCCTAAGAAACCATCACAGCTTTCTCCCAGGTCCCAGCTAGACAGAATTCTCTCTCTCTCTCTCTCTCTCTCTCTCTCTCTCTCTCTCTCTCTCTCTCTCTCTCTCTCTCTCTCTCTCTCTCTCTCTCTCTCTCTCTCTCTGTCTCTCTCTGTCTCTGTCTCTCTCTGTCTCTCCTTCCCTCCCCTTCCCTCCTCCCCTCCCCTCCCCTCCTCTTCTCCCTCCTCTCTCCCCATCTCTCGAAGTCCACTTAGTGGAAGCTAAAGTGTGTTGCTTAAGAAGAATCTCAGTGCCCTGTAAACAAAAGAATTCCAAGTGCAGACGCTTCAGGAAACAGCACAAAATTATAGAATGCTGAAAGTGAGAGATCCCGCAGAGATCCTTTGTAGTGACTGGAGTTAAAAACAGGTCAGACCAGAATAACCAGTATGAGCTCTTAAGGCTGTTCTTAGCATTTCTTTCCCAACCTAAATCTTTATATACAGCAGCTGGCAACTTTTCGGCAATCTCTGTGAACCTGACAGAAAGCCCATCCAGTCACCGCATACACATTGGGGTCCTTCAGCCGTGGCTACCCTTCTCTATTCCATGAAGAGTTTCTAAGGGTCGGTTGGTTGCTGGGCTCTTAATTCCCACACTGCTCACAATACTGGGGAGAGGGAAATCATGACTCCCCCCCCCACACACACACACACATACATGTGGACCATTTTAGACCTTCCACATGCGAGAAGTGGGATTGCCAAGGGCGACGGTCACTTTTGGCTAGCCGATGGCTCCTTTTTCTCCGTGCACTTGGACAAACACTTGCTATGCGCACAGTAGATCCCGGAGGCAAAGGAGATGATCTCATTCTTGCGCGGGCAGGTGTGGACACCCGGGTAGGGAGACGCGGCAGCTAGGCCGAGCCCCGACCGCACCCGCGCGCCCGCCGCGGGAGCCAGGTGCCCGCGCCCAGTCGCCCTGTCGCCCTGTCGCCGGGTCGCCCGGCAGGAAGTGGCTGCGGCTGCGGGGGAGCGGCGGGGCGGGGAGGCGCGGCGCCCGAGCCCCAGCGCGCGGAGCCGGTCCTCATGGCGGCGCGGGTGCCCGCGGGCCCCGAGGACGACGCCTCGGCCGTCCTGGACGAGCTGTCTCGGAACTTCACGTACTGGGCGCCGGGCCCGGGCAACGGCTCGCTGTCGAGCGCCTGGTACCGCAGGAACCAGGTAAGGCCGCCGCCCGCGCGCGCACCGGGGCGCGGCGCCCGCCAGCTCCACGCAGGCCCCGCGGAGGCTCCGGGCCTCGGCGCCTTCCTGCCAGCTCTCGGCGCGCGACAGCGGCCGTGCGAGTGGGCAGAGCCGGTGTGTGACGTTCACCTCCCTCCCCTCCCCACTCCACGGAGCAGCAGACCCCCCAGGCTGCTCCCGGCCTCACTCGTGGGCCTCTGGGCCCCCAGAAACCTCGCCTCCCCTTCGGCAAGGATCTGAGTGGATTTCTACTTATTTTCACCCCAGGTTCCTTTCACAGTTTTAAAAAAAAGTGACACCTTTCTCAGAAGCAGAAACTCATTATGGGCCTCCCAATGTCAACTCTGTGCAGAGTTGTGTCTCCAAGGTCTCAGCATTGCCCTTCGTGCGGAAAAACACTATATTCTCAGGCTGCAGTTCTTCATCGCTTGCCCTTTGGGAAAACAACATTGTCAGCCTAAACAACACGGGTTTACGCTGGAGATTTTATATATAAATATTTATATATGAGCATCGAAGGGGATTCAGGTGCCCATTTATTTTTGGATGGCCCCAAGATCAGGGAGAGGAAAGACACTCTCCCCAGCCCTGCCTCTAGCAATCTTTATATTCATGTGGGGCAAGTGAGCTATCATAGGGTAGGCTTCAGGCTTCCAGTTTTCCTAAGCCTGTTACTTTGTTCTTGTGCATTAGCAAAGCCATGGATCTTTTTCTTTTACAAGAATACATCCATAAAATTTTGTTACTATTGTCCTAAGTGGGAGATTTTAATCACTAATCAAAGGGTTAGATTTCTTTTATGCTTGAAAAGTATCTTCAATGTTAGTTTCTGAACTCAGGGGTGATTTGTATAAAGAATAAATAAGCTTAGTCCACCTTATTAATTTTGCTTTAAGTCTGTTTCATCACAAAAAAGATAATAAAATGGGGAAGGAGGCTTGCTTGGAGACTGATCCCATTTCTCCTTGCTTCCACCCACAAAATTACAAAGAACAGACTTTCTTCTCATGGAGACATCCTCACCATCTGTTATGCTTGTAATAGACACAGTTCCAACGAAAGTTTAAGGATGAATGATCTGCTCTTGGTAAAATATTAGAGCGTAGATGTGACCAACCATGGCATCTTCAAAACAGGAAAGCCATGTTTTCACAGAGAGAACTTATTCGGTCATTAGTTTTCTTTAACATTTCCTGGAACTCCTGATTGTCTTGGCTCTCCCAGGCACAGATTATCATGTGACATAAATGTTTGCAAGGTTTAACTTGCCCTTGATAGTACACAGTTGTACAAGTCAGGAAGGGTGTATCCAGAATATGCTAATTGAACTGCTAAAGAGACATCTCCACTCTTGTTGGGTTGAGATAAGACTATGCCATCTTTTCCCTTGAGTGTGCAGAGTTGGGCCATCTCAAAAGCCATAGTATTTTATCTTTTTGCTTGCTGCTGAAAGGATAATTACTTTGGTTTCAAGGAAAGTGAAAATTGAATTTTAAAATTCATTCAACAAACATTTTATCGAGTGCCACTAGTGCTGTCTAGGACAGTAAAAGTGAATGGAATCTAGCCTTTCCTTTTTGACACTAACCGAATAAAGAGATGGCTGAACTGGGAGTGAGCTCCAAAAAACAGAGAGAGAGAGAGAGAGAGAGAGAGAGAGAGAGAGAGAGAGAGAGAGAGAGAGAGAGAGAGAGAGAGAGAGAGAGAGAGAGAGGGAAAGTGTGAAATCTGAGTTCCCAAGCCCCACAGCCATAATTAGCACTGGGAGCAACCAGCAGTCTAGAACTGGCTGTTTGAGGTTTCTTTGAGGTTTCCCTCCATTTTGCCACATCTGAAATACTTGCAGTTTCTATTTGTTGGTTGCCCAGCTAGCCCTCTGTTCACAGTGATTGCCATCAGGTGTTACCAATTAGCCTTCCTGTACTGAGAAGTACTGATGCTCTGAAGTGCTTTCCTGTGACAGTGTCCACTTAAAAGGGGTGGTGTCTGAGACAAATGTAAGAATGCCTGGAGCAGAAAGTCTGGGAAGTGTCCTGAGAAGTCACTGCTGTTAGGAGATTGAGAGCCTGCCCCACTTGAAAAAAAAAAAAAAAAAAAAGAAGTGCCCTGTTACTGAAGCTCAGATGTGGTGAGTTCTGCCGGCTGGTCTATGTTGTGTTCACACGTTTTCAGCACAAAAGGCTAATGTTCCTGAGATGTTTAGTGGGCTCACTGTGTGTACAAAGCACTGTGGGAATATTCATTGTGCTCCAAGACCCAAACATTTCTTTCAGGAGTGTTATTAGGTGGCTAGGAAGGTGTATGTAACTCCCAAACAGGGATATGTGGTATCATGTGAGTGACATAAAAGCCTGTGGAAGTCTAGAGCCGGGTTGGCAGGTCAGGGATGCGGTTGTGGAGAATGATGTCTCAGTTGGACACTTAGAATGGATGGGACTTTGTGGTAGGAATGTACAGGTGTAGGGCATTTCAGAAAGGGAAACCCTGGGAACAAGGAACAGCTGTGCTTTTTAGAAATTTCGAGGCCTAGCGTCTGGTCCAATGGATGTGGCAGTTGTGGGAAATGGAGACTGTAAGGTGGGAATAGGGTTTAGGACCTTGGATCTGGTCCTGGATTGCCTTAAAGGAGGAGTAAGGAAGTTAAGGTTGTATCTAGCAGAGAGTCAGGAGCCATTGAAGTCTTTTGAGCAAATTAAAATTTAAAACATCTAAATTAGGCTAACAGGAGGTAGAGACCTCAGACTGGCCAGATGTGGACTAAATCTGGTGATGTGTCATGTTTGATCTTCAGAGAAGTTTTAAAATGTTTAATACATTGCCAACATTTAAAGATGAGATTAGCTGGGACTGGAGAGATGGCTCAGCAGTTAAAAGCATTTACTGCTCTTAGGGAGGACACACTGGGTCCAGTTCCCAGCAGCTGCAGGGTGGCTCACAACCTCCTGCCTATAACTTTAGTTCCGAAGATTGGATAGTTTAAAAAAAATGAGACTAAAATGGTTCGTAAGGTTAAAACTATACCTTAGTTTGATGTTTACTATTTAAAAGTCATATTTAAAATACCCCATTTACTCATATATGTAAACATTCTTCATTTTACTTATACAAATAAAAGCCAAAGGTTTATCAAAGGTCAAAGCTGAGAACCTTTAAGAAGCCCATTTATCAAAATATAAGGATATGATTCAGATTTTTTTTTTAAGTTTAAAGGAGAATTCATCTTCCATCATAGAAAGCACCTGGTTTTTTGGTCTTTTTAGTTAAGTTTTTAAAATTTATTTTTATTTTATGTGCATTAGTGTTTTGCATGGGTGTTGCGTCCCCTGGGATAGCAGCCAGCCTTCTTTTTCATTACAATTTGAAGATATTTGTTAAATTGTCTGGACTATTACATTCCTATGAAGTTATTGATGCATAATAAATTGCATTTAAATGGTGACATGTTGTTATTTAAATTGGGAATTAAGGTTGTGTTTCAAGGAATAAATTTTTAAAATAAAATTAGCTATAAAATTTCAAGTTTCCACCATCTCCTTAAGCATTAGAAGTTTACACTTGGGCCTGAGGACATATGAATGGGCAAAGCCATGCAAACAGAGGAGTTAGGGTCCCAGAACCCATGTCAGTGCTTGGTGGTTCTGATGGCCTGCTACAATTCCAGCATTCTGGAGGTGCTGATGGTCCTGCAATACCAGCACTCTGGAGGTTCTCATGGTCCTGTGATTCCAGCACTCTGGAGGTGCTGATGGTCCTGCAATTCCAGCACTCTGGAGGTCCTGATGGTCCTGTAATTTCAGTGTTCAGGATGTTCTCATGGCCTCCTGTAATTCCAGCACTCTGGAGGTTCTCATGGTCCTGTGATTCCAGCACTCTGGAGGTGCTGATGGTCCTGTAATTCCAGCACTCTGGAGGTGCTGATGGTCCTGTAATTCCAGCATTCTGGAGGTCCTGATGGTCCTTTAATTCCAGCACTCAGGAGGTCCTGATGGCCTCCTGTAATTCCAGCATTCTGGAGGTCCTGATGGTCCTTTAATTCCAGCACTCAGGAGGTCCTGATGGCCTCCTGTAATTCCAGCACTCTGGAGGTCCTGATGGTCCTGTAATTCCAGCATTCTGGAGGTTCTGATGGTCCTGTAATTCCAGCACTCTGGAGGTCCTGATGGTCCTGTAATTCCAGCACTCTGGAGGTCCTGATGGTCTTGTAATTCCAGCGTTCAGGAGGTTCTCATGGCCTCCTGTAATTCCAGCACTCTGGAGGTGCTGATGGTCCTGTAATTCCAGCATTCTGGAGGTTCTGATGGTCCTGTAATTCCAGCACTCTGGAGGTCCTGATGGTCCTGTAATTCCAGCACTCTGGAGGTCCTGATGGTCCTGTAATTCCAGCGTTCAGGAGGTTCTCATGGCCTCCTGTAATTCCAGCACTCTGGAGGTGCTGATGGTCCTGTAATTCCAGCACTCTGGAGGTGCTGATGGTCCTGTAATTCCAGCACTCTGGAGGTGCTGATGGTCCTGTAATTCCAGCATTCTGGAGGTCCTGATGGTCCTGTAATTCCAGCACTCTGGAGGTCCTGATGGTCCTGTAATTCCAGCACTCTGGAGGTGCTGATGGTCCTGTAATTCCAGCATTCTGGAGGCTGAGAGTCCTTAGAGCAAGTGAGACGAGACTAGCTAAACCAGCAAGTTCTAAGCTTGAGCAAGACACCCTGAATCCATATATAAGGTGGAAAGTAGTCAAGAAAGGCATGCAGCATCAACTTCTGGCCCCTACACAAACATCACACACACACACACACACACACACACACACATACACACACATACACACACTCACACGCGTACGTTCTCACCCTGGCTGGCTCTTTGCTCTTCGCTTCTTTCAGGGGCTGACAATGCTGATGTCTGGTTTCCAGCCAGTGTTAAAGCCAGCTGCTTTGATGGTGTTAACTAGCTGATTGCACTTGAGTGAACCTTCATCTCCC